ACATAGTAGTAAATGACCACAGTAAGCTAGTGTTTGATAAACCCAAATACCCCAGGCTCTGAGATAAGAACTCATTATTTGACAAAAACTGGAAAACAATATATTAGAAACTAGAAATAGAGCAACAACTTGCACTGTACTATGATAAAGTCAAAATGAACAAAATGGAAAGGTATAGACACCACTGCTGACAGCAGAAGACTGCAACATCTTCAGCCTCGACTCTGCTAATTGTGAGCTGGAAATCTGTGCCAGACCCACTGCCACTGAACCAAGCAGGGACCCCAGAGGCCAGGCTGGCTGTGCTACAGATGAGAGGCCTGGGGGCCTTTCCTGGATTCTCTTGGTACTCATGTAAGTAGCTAGTGCATCCACTGACTGACCCTGCAGGACTCCCCTGGAGACACAGGGAGACTGAAGGTTGAGTCACTATAATCTCTCTTCTGGCATATAAAATTAGAAAGAAAAGAAACTTTACCAAAATTCATTGGCTTTCAAGAAAAACCATTGGGACTGGTAATTACTTGACTCTGAGTATGGTAAACTCAAAGGAGAACATTAAACAATTTTAATAACTTTAACAAATGAATGAGAAAAAGCTCACAAATGAACTTCGAATGATGTAAAAATGAAAACAAAATCATGTTTGTGATCCCATGACCACTGTGTGTTCTCCTTCCTTACCCGGGAGCCAGAGCAGTAGGAGATGGGACAGCTGAGCTGCTGACCCCCTCTCCATGCTCTCCTCTGCGCAGTGCCGATTCCTGCGGTTGGGAGCGTGACAAGCTGGCTAATAAGGGCTCTGAGCACTCAGGACAGAGGTGGGGGATGGGAGCGTGCAAAGCCGGATGGCCCCTGCAGGGAGAGCTGGACTTCAGCTGCTGAGTTTATTTCTATGGCTCATGATTTAGGAAGCTCCTCTTCCCATGTCCCCTGTCACACCAGAGAAGAATACTCACACTCAGGGGTGCCCATTGCCCTTAATGGTTAATGAAACAGAATCACTTCACTTTCCAGCCCTTTCATCTCCTCAGGCTCAAAAGATGTTGGCTACCTATGCTTCAGGAGGAGAGGAGAAAGTATGGCCTGGGACTTTTTGCATAGTTCCTTATTTATCATGGGAATTTACTGTTCCTCTAGTCAAAAGGGTTCATTCATTGTCTCCTAAGTGTGTCAGAAGCATTCCCACCACACCTCCTTTGCTCACTCCCACCAACTGAGCACTATCTTTCCCACTAAAATATATCTTAAATACAAAGGTCATGTTCAAGGAACTTAAAACAAGAGGTTAGAGGCAAAAAGCCTTCTTTATTCTATTGGAGGAAAGAAACTATTCACGTGTGCTGGGGTTTCCTCTACCACTGAGGAAACCCAAGGCAGAGAGGCTAAGCCTTGATGTAAATAGCTGTGGCTAGACAAAAAATCAAGCAGTGAGTTGTAACAGCAGCAGTGGGTTATGACAGCCACAATGAAGCAAGTTTACCCAGTGACAAAAAGTCCATACATAGCAGGGCTTCATGACCGGGATGTGGTTCCTCCCCCAGCTCAGGGACCTCCAGTTGTGTGATTTAGATGCAAAAGAGTTCATCCAGAGGGTGAGCACAAAGGACTGTTGTTATGCCAAGCTCAGGGCACAGTTTACATGCTGAGCCTTAGCTTTTGCCCTCTGGGACAAAATAGGAAAAGTCTAATCCCTTCTCCACATGATAGACTTTCTTATTCTTGAAAACAAAATAAAAAATTAAAATTGAGTTCTTCACTGTGTTGTCAGTTATCATTTCTTCTTTTCTTTGAGCTTTCTTTTTTCCCAACATTACTTAACAATAAAACCATTTTTGGTTATCCACAGTCTTCACTACCAGCCTCAGCTTCTTCTGAGTTTTAACATTCCTGGCAAAATTTTTCTAGGACCATACAATACTCACATATTGATTCTTTCTTATCTGGTCTTACTTCTATTGTCTGTCCCTTTTTTTTCCCCCCCAAATTTGGCTGGTGAGTTTGCTATGGATAAATTTAGTCTGTCCAGACAATATTCATTTTTCTACTTGATTGAAATTTTTTCTTTCTCTCTTCAGCATTTCACCACTGAGCTTCCCCCATCTCTTTCTAGCTGACTTTCCCCTAATGAATTTTATTCCCATGGGACCATACTTCTGCACCTTTCCTCTGAAATACTTCAATTTACTTTCTCAAACTCGAGTAAAGTTAGATTATGTTTGATATTTTTTTGTAGTTTGATTTTAATGTAAAAGCTTTTATCACATCAAAGTATACATGCTCCTATCCTGTAACTGGATATTAAAAATATATTTTCAAATATTAACAAAAGTTTTGATTAATTTAACATGAATATACACTATGATATCAAAATTTTAGGTTAAGCACTTTTCTTTCATAAGATTTAAAATCATTCTAAGGCTCCTGTGCAACTTTACATTCTGACATAAAAAAATTTTTTAAAAAGTAATTTTTTACACCTAAATGAAAAATCACACTGAGTATATCTTGACACTATAGGATACAGTGGAACATGCCTCCAGCAGCCAAACATACCTCAATTACATTAGGAAACCATGAATTGTTCTTTCAGACAAATGAAGGGAAGTGAAGAAGTTTTATTTCTAAGAATCACTAAATGCAGCAAAGCAACTATAGGTTTCTGTTTTGGGGGGAGAAACCTTTTGTTTTCATAATTTATTTATTTTTAGTTTTCAACATTCTCTTCCATATGATTTTCTGTTTTAAATTTTCTCCCCCACCCCTTGCTTCCCCCCACCTCCACCCCAAAATAGGGTGCAATCATATATAGGCCCTGCTTATACATTCATATTAAGCCTATTTTCCCGTTAGTCATGATGTAAAGAACAATTAGAACTAATGGGAGGAACCATGAAAATGAAGTAATAAAACAAAACAACAAAAGAAAAGGGGAGCAAATAGTATGCTTTGATCTGCATTCAGACGGCATAGTTCTTTCTCTGGATGTGGATACATTTTCCATCATGAGTCTTTTGGAGTCATCTTAGATCCTTGCATTGCTGTGAAGAGCCAAGTCTATCAAAGTTATCACACAGTGTGGCTGTACTGTGGGCAATGTTCTCCTGGTTCTGCTCATTTCATTCACCATCAGTTCATATGAGTCTTTCCAGGTTTTTCTGAAGTCTGCCTGCATTTCTTGTAGCACAATAGTATTCCATTACATTCATATACCACAACTTGTTCAGCCATTCCCCAATGGATGGACATCCCCATAATTTCCAATTCTTTGCCACCACAGAAAGAGCTGGTATAAATATTTTGGTACATATGGGTCCTTTTTGCTGTTTTTATAATCTCTTTGGGATACAGACATAATAGAAATCATGATTCTCTCGATAGATGCAGAAAAAGCATTTGACAAAATAAAACACCCATTCCTATTAAAAGACACTAAAGAGCATAGGAATAAATGAAATCCTTAAAATGATAGATAGCATCTATCAAAAACCATCAGCAATCATTATATGTAATGGGGATAAATCTTTTAACAAATTAAAAAAACCTGCAATTTTTAGAAAAACATTTTCTCTGACTTAGGGAAACAATAAAGAAATAAATACATGTTTATTGCTGAAGAGGTAAGTAAACACTTATCTTTTATAATTTCTACTTGAGAGTGAATATATTTTGTAAATCTGACTACTTTTTGACGAATGACATCAGGAGGGTGATTTATTGTGACTTGGATGTGAATTTGCTTTAAGGTCTTTCCCCAGTCTGTTTATCTGAAGCAACACCCATGTAGTAATTAAAGGCTAGGTAAGAATGGAGGCAAAAAATGGCCCAGTTTGCCTTCACAAAAGAATCAGTATGGGAGGGGAAGACCCTCAGAGTTTCTCTACGCTGTGGACAGAGTTCTGGGCATGCAATCAGGAAGTCCTAAGTTCAATTCCAAGTTCAGGCACTTGCTAGCCGCGTGACCCTGGGCAAGTCACTTCACCCTAGTTTCCACATCTATAAAACTGGGGCTATAATAGCACCTGCTTCCCAGATTGTTGTGAGGACCAGATGAGATAGTCCTTGTACTCAGCCGAGCCGGGAACACAGTAAGCTCCCCCTAAACGTTAGCTCTTAGTTTTACTGAGCCCATCCACCAGACGACGGGCATTCCCCAGGCACAGCTACACGCTCTGCACGTCTCCTGGTTTCCCTCGGGTCAGTCTCCTTGACGGAGGAACCAGACCCAAAGGAGCACAGCCCGGCTCTGCCTTCTCCCCGTGTCTGTGATCCTCGTCCCACGGACCCCAGACAGGGCCCGGCCCTTCTTTGATCCTCGGCTTTTCCCCGACATCGTTTTCCAAAAACACAGCCCGGGCCAAAGCCAAGCCTTCCGTCGTCCCCGCGGTCCCTTGACCTCTCCTGCTGCCCCGGGCCCACTCATGTCCTGCTCCTCCTGGAAGGCCCAGGGAGCTGAGCGAGAGCTCCGGGCATCCAGCCTCAGCCCCTGGTTTCCCTCCTCAGAACCGGGGCTTCCCTTCGTGTTTGCGTCACTTCCTGCGGGAAGATGCCGGCGCACAGGAAGCATTTCGTAAGAGCCGCGGCCTGTGGTGACTGGCGGCAAGAGTGGGAGAGACTGCCGGGGGGACTATCCTCGGAGGAGCTCCAGGGCCCCTCGAGGTCTGCGACCTCACGCCTGGTAACACCGCGTGGGCTCTGGGGCTGTGAAGACAACGCAAGAGGTAAAAGGAAAGGAGGAACGGAGGGAGCGGGGTTCCTGGAGGGAGGGCCAGGAGGAGCGACGCAGGCAGAGAGGCAGGACCGCATTCAAGGCCGGGGGAGGGGCCGAGCCCCAGGCATGCGCAGAAGGCGCCTCAGCCTCCAGACTACGATTCCCAGAAGGCCGTGCTCGCTTTAGGGGCATTTTTCCAACCTCAAGGGGAGCAGGGCTGGACTTCCTTCTTACGAAGACACTTCCGTTTCCTTTTCTCTCCGCCTCTTCCATGCTTTCTGGTTCGCGTTTCCTCTTCTCTGCATTGAGCTGAAGTGTGACGGGGTGAGCGGGGCCAGGCCCAGGCGGGGTCGGAGCACCGGGGGCTGGCTGGGGAGCACACGGGGAATGGGAGGAGCGTCCGCCAGAGGAGGAAGGAAGCCCCTGAGGGGCTCCCAGGGGTCTGGGGGCGGCCCGTGCGTGGTGGGGGGCGGGGGTTGGAGGCCGACCAGACGGAGGCGGAGCCTGGGGGCGGATTCTAATCCTCCTTCAGTCACGCCCGCATCCCGTGACCCCGGTCAGGCCATGGCCCTCCATGCCTCGGGCCACCTCATGTGCCCAGAGACCCAGGGAATGTGCTCCTGGTGTGTGCCTGCTTGGTCCTTGGTGCGGACTTCCCCTGGCCTCATCTCCTCCTCCCAGCATCCTCCTGGGCAGCCCCTCCTCTGGGAACCCTTCCCTGATGCTGCCGGGCCCTGTTCCCTCCCCCTGCTGAAAGGGTCATCTGTCTGCCCTCCAGTTTGTCTCTAAAGAGATGCTGGCCCCAAGACAGCGCTCCCCAGGAGAGAAATCATGGCTTCCTTCTGGCCCACCCCTGCCCCCCTCCCTGATCTCCCCACGGTAGAGAAGTGGGAATGTCTGGTCTGAGCAGGGCAGACCCCCCCAGCATCAGCCCTCATTCTCCTGCTTCTCCTTTCCTCCCCAGCTCTACCTTCGGTGGCCTCTGCTCTGCCCCAGGAGGACAGCCTGGAGGAAGAGGGAATGGCTCCTGCCCTGACAGCCAGGCCTGGGAAAGTGAGTGCCACTTGCTGCTTTCCTTAAATAGCATCTCAGGCCAGAGACCCTGGGATAGGTTTCTTTGTCCTGATTCATAGCTCCTGTTTGGGTAAATGCTGTGTTAAACTGAAGTAAACTAGAGAATGAAGAGGCAGCAAAGTACAAAGGAAAGACTAGCTTGTATGTCAGAAGGCTTGCATTTGAGATTTAGCTGCTATCATGGATAAGATCTGATCCATTTCATACATGTTTTCATGCCTCTCCAGCTGGGTTCATGGGACATATCCTAAGCTCTCTAACCTTCTTTTTCTCACCTCCCAACCCCAGTGATTTTTTTTTTGTCTTTGCATTTTTGTTACAGTCTTCCCATGTTTTGAAAATGAACTTATACTTTAAACTGTTACTAGGTTTCTCCACTTGCTAGATGAAGCCCTGGAAACAAACATGAAATATATAAACCTTGACATATGTGTATACATGATTATAAAGCTACATGTGTACACACAAGTTTGTTCCAGCATTTTCAGTCATGTCTGACTCTTCTTGACCCCATTTAGGGTCTTCAGTATCTCTGGAGTAGTTTGCCATTTCCTTTTATAGCTCATTTTACAGATGAGGAAACTGAGGTAAACGGGGTGAAATGACTTGCCTAGGGTCACACAACTTACAAGTATCTAAGGCCAGGGTTGAACTTACGAAGATGAGTCTTCCTGACTCTAGGCACATCACTGAATAATCTAGCTGCCCTAGTACACATGAGTATCTATACACATACATATATGAGATAGCCTTGGTTTTTTGTTTTTTTTTTTTTTAAAGAAACTATTCTAAACCACAGATTACATTGAATAAGTATGCTTTTCTTTTCTACCCCAGGGCCCTCTCTCTTGGTAGGAGCTTTCTTAAAGCAGAGAAAACTAAAGAGTAGTTACTTTGTTTTGCCTTGTTTAATGCAGTTGGCTTGTCCATTACAAGTTGTATTAATCAAATCATATTTTAAATACATCATAGAAGTTTAAAGGACTCTTGTAGTACATCCTTTCATAAAGCAAAGCCTCCTTTTATGCATTCATTTAATAGATGAATCATTTTGTTAATAAAAATAATCATTCCCTTATTGATTAGTTGGGTGTTTTTGGTTTTAAATGAGCATTTTTTATATTTGGTTTGGTAAATCCAGGCTCCTGTGTAGTTCAAATGATGAGACATTTTTATCATTTTCTTATCATTTGGTACATTGTTTTGAGACTTCATATACAGACTCATAATCAAAACTGTTACAATAGCTTCATGCACATTGGATCCCCAAACAAAGCCATTCAGCAGCTTTTAATAGCAATATGCCACCCACTTATGAAGAGGAGAATAACTTGTCTTCCAGTGTCCTGAAGTTAAACTTCCATTAATTCCTCAGGCCAGAAATGTAGTTTACATTGATCCTTCCTAGGTCCCGTCTTATTAGATGCAGCCTGTTCTTCTAACTTCTTGAAGTCTTTTTGGATCCTTGTTCTTGGATAAAAGGTGTTGAATCGCTGGCTCACCAGTATCTAAAGTCACCAGCCTAGAGTGTGAAAAATCAGTGTTCTTCTTTACCTTTGTGAAGAATTTTCCAAATGGTTTGTTGCCAAAAATGACCACTGGCCAAAGAATGGCCATTTTTTAAAGTCCATCTGTGTAAGAAAGCTTATCCTCAGCCCCTGAGCTACCTGCCTGTTTTAGCTTGTGGGTAATCCAGAAGAGACATGATGTCAGCCTACTGTTATGCTGGCAGCTATGTTTGAAGACCTCTTGTGGCTGGAGAGCAGGCTTCTCTGAAAACGTTTAAAGGGCACAAAGGTGATTGCAACACAGACTGGATCATCTGTGCAAGGAATGAGTGGTAGAGAGCAATTAGAAAAGTTTCTTTCATTTTTTTCTGTAAGCTTTTGTGCTATTTCAACACAGACATTTCAAGGCAGACTTCTTTCCTTCACCCTTTCCTCCACCCTACCTTTTGGGTAATCACCCAAAAATATCAGTGATGGTGACTTTACCTGACAGTTCATAAAACATTCTCCTCTAATGGTCTCCATCTTCTCTACTATCTGAAGCGGTAATTTTTTTAAAATTTTATTTTGAATTTATGGAATAAAACAAACATTTCCATCACACAGTACAGTGAAAAAGATTAATTGTACATAAAACTGCAAATCTACTGTGTACAACTTGCTATTCCTTTCAAATAAACAATAAAATTATAATGTAAATTTCTTTTTCTTCCCATCCCTTTTCCACTCTAGAGATGGTTACTATTAGACACAAATAGGTCTGTGTGTGTGTGTGTGTGTGTGTGTGTGTTTGTTTGTATAATATAGATGCATATACGTAAAATTATTCTATACATACCTTAGTTGATCAATTCTTTATCTAGTTGGAGGTAGCATCTTTCTTCATATGTCCTTTATGTTTAATTTGGGTATTTGTGATAGATAAAATAATTTATTCACTCAGAGTTGTTCTTCAAACAATATTGTTGCTGTGTACAAAGTTCTCTTGGTTCTGCTCATTTTTTCGCTTTCATTATTTCATGCAAGTCTGCATGTTTTTCTAAAATCATGTAGCTCATCATTTCTTACAGCACAGTAGCATTCCATCACATTCATGTACCACAATTTGTTCAGCCATTTCCCAGTTGATGGGCATCCTTGCAATATCTACTTTTTTCCCACCAGAAAGAGAGCTGCTATAAACATTTGGTTCTTCTCCTTTTCCCCTAATCATTTTTGGAGATAGACCATATGGTGGTATTGCTGGATCAAAGGGTCTGGGTAGTTGAATAACTCTGGGCATAATTCCAGATTGCTGTCCAAAATGGTTGGATTTTAGTATTACACCAACTATGAATTAGTGTCCTAGTTTTTCCTCATCCCCTCCAACATTTGTCACTTTCCCCTCCTATCATTTTAGCTAATCTGTTAGGTGTAAAGTGATGCCTCTAGTTTGTTTTCATTGACATTTCTCTAACCAGTAATTATTTAGATTATATTCATATAACTATAAATTGTTTTGATTTTTTCATTGGAAAACTGCCTGTTCATATCCTTTGACCATTTATTAATTGGGGAATGATTCCTATTCTTATAGGTTTGACAAAGTACTTCATATATTTTAGATATGAGACCTTTAATAAACTGTATAAATTTTTCCCCCAATTTTCTGCTTTGCTTCTAATCTTTGCTGTTTTTAAGAACCTTTTTTAATATAATGTAATAAAAGTTATCCATTTTATACCTGACTTTGCTGTCTATCTCTTGTTTATTTATAAATTGTTCACCTATCCATAAGTCTGATAAATAATATACAATTTTTTTTTCAGTTCATAATTCAGCATCTTTTCATTTTTCGGGTTTTTTTGTTCTTTTAGTTATGTTTTTGTAATTTTGTGTATTGTGTTCTGTTGGATCTGCTCATTTTACACTGTGTCAGTGAATATACATCCTCCCCTGCTTCTCAGAATTCCTCATCTTTCTTATTTTTAAGTATATAAATAATAGTAAATTCATATACCATTTTTCTAGATGTTCTTTACTGGTGTGAATTCAGTTTGTTTCCAGGTCTCTGCTGCCCAAAAGAGTGCTCTTTTGAATGTTTTGTGTAAAAACTCAGTTGTGGCCTTGTTCTGCTTATACAGAAAGTGAATGGCAACATGGTACAGTGAGAATAGCCCTGGATTTGCTGCTGAGAGGACCTGGTCTCAAAGTGCACATTTACCATTCACTCACTCCCTTTTTGACCTTAAGCAAGTCACTTTTCTCCTCTAATGAGCATATTAGACTCAAAGTCTCTTCCAACTCTAAATATATGAATTGGAAAGGTATAGTCCTTTAACACTCTTTTCAGCAGTAAAAAAAATTGTTCACATGTTACAGACAGGAGATTTGCTCTTCTGGTTCCAGGAGCATTGAACACAAATCATGTTCATTTCAGAGCACCACATTTTAAGAACCACAGCAACTGGATGAAAAGAGGAAGCTAATTGCCTTAGTTGTGAAGTGATCAGGTCAATTGGTCAAAGGAACTGGCTATGTTAGGATTGGAAGAGAAGACTTAGGGCCACATGATAGCTCTGTCTTGAGCAATTTCATTTTCATTGTTTATTTCAGCAAGTAGAAAAGGAATTAGCCACATTACTACGTCAACTTAGAGGGCACAAATAGAAGCTATGGGTACACATTGTAAAGTAAGAATACACACCCAAAAACCACACATTTAACATTGATGTCATTGGAACCTTTTACCACAGTAAGCATATATTGAGCTACCTACAAAGTGCCAGGCATCATGCTGAGTGTGAAGGATACAAAGTAAGGCAGAATTGGCTCCTGCCCTCCAGGAGCTTACAAAGCAATTGGGAGAAGTTCTTTTTAAAAAATTTTTATTCATAAAATTTTTAATTCATAGACTAAAACAAGCATTTCCAAAACATACTATGATTAAAAAAAAGATGATTGCACATGAAACTCCAAGTCTATTATGTACAACCTGCTATTCCTTTTAAATATACATAAAGTTATCGTGTAAATTTTTTTTCTTTCCCTTCTCTCACCCTCAATCCTAGAGATGGGTGCTACTATTAGAAGTGTGTGTGTGTGTGTGTGTGTGTGCGCGTGCGCGCGTGTAAAATAGATCAGTTCTTTCTGATTGTGGAATTTTTTAAGTACCTGCTGTATACCATACACTGTACTGGGATACAAATAAGTAAATGAGCCAATCTCTTGTAGCAAGGGAAAGATGAAATGACTGAGGAAATGATCATTTAATCTATTGACCATATCAATTTTATATTAAACAAGACATGACAGTTGCAGAACAACCTGGGACCAGGCCCCTTACTCAACTTTTGGCTGGACTCAGAATATAGGGTGAGATGTACTTGTATACATTAAAGTCAATCAAACAAAGCCAATTAATTAAAAGCAAATAGTACAATATTACGTAGTCTGATTTCTAATTGGAGGAAAGATTAGGGACTTTGCCTGTGAAGGGGTGAGTGGGGCAACAGGTTCAATTCCCTGAATTCAGAAAAAGGTGTACCAGTCCCACCAAGTGTCTGTATGTAATCAAAAGAACGTAGAAAGAATAATGAATTGTTTACTATGGGGCCAGTTTGCAGACAAGACATATGGGTGGCTCAAAACGTAGAATTGTGAGAACTCCTTATAGTCGTTTTGGATCTGCCTGGGTTTCTGGTCAGCATAACCTCGGTCCTTAGTTAAGGGTCTCTAAACAGCAGGGAGAAAGAGGTGTCCCAGTTTCTCAGCCAGGAAGGACCAGGTTCAAACCATGCAAAAATTTTTTCTCCCAGTTCCCTCAATTGAATAAATTTTTTTCACAAGACAAGTTGGACTAGACCTATAATTGAACAGAAAAAGAACTGAGCTACCTCCAGAACTGAGTCAGTCCACAAAATGGAGGCAGTGTGGTTGACTCAGTTGCCTCAATTCCCTGTACCACTTGCTGTCCTGATGCCCTGCATTCTGTCACCCTCCTGGCAAGGAGTTTACATTTGAACTTCATAGCAGAGCTATAGCTGGGTAAGCACAACTGTTCTTGTTGTTTCAGGAATCAGTGACATTCAAGGATGTGGCTGTGGAATTCACCCCAGAGGAGTGGGTACAATTGAACCCATCTCAGAAAAAGCTGTGCAGGGATGTGATGCTGGAGAACTATAGGAACTTGGTCTCTTTGGGTAAGAACAGCTACCCCTTTGGAGTCTTGATATATGCTATGACAACTTTCAAAATTTTAACTGTTATTCTTTGGCGTACAAGAGGAAAATATTCCTAATCCTTTTGTAGCCAAGAGACAGATTACTTGTGCTACTTGTTTCCTGAAAAAAGGTTTTTGCTTAGTATCCCTTAAAATTGATTTCTTGATTTGATGTTATTCTTGAGAATGTGTCTTCCCCTCTCTGCTGCTTCAAATCCAAGATTTTCTTTTTAATCCCAATGTAGGTTTCATCATACAAAATGTTCCACTGTCTAAGCAGGGAATGAGTCAAATGAACAATTTTTGCCCCAAGCCCTACTCAGTAATCCATTCTACCATAATATAGAATATCCTTCAGTGGTCTTTTGTATTTCCTTGAGGTCTTCCTAGCATAGGGCTTTAACTAGTTTTGAATTCTTTTATTAAGTTTTGTGGATGCTTGTTGAAAAGATGTATTTTTTCCTTCCCTTGACACCTTAAAAAAATAAAAGAAAAAACCCTACTTCTCCCCCCACTCAGCCCATTGAACCCCTATGTTGGAAAAACAAAAATCTCAAGACAAAATCAGCTAACATCATGCCCTTGGTGGTGTAAGATACATTCAGTGCCCTTATTCCCCCACTGTTCTACTAAGAGTTGGAAGGAGTATTTCATCTATCTCTTCTGTGATGGAACTCTGAAATAACTCCTTAACACTTTTTCATTTTCAATGAACAGGATTTGCAGTTTCCAAACCAGATGTGATCTACCAGTTAGAAAGAAAGGAAGCATCTTGGATGCCAGAGGCAGATATTCCAAGAAGCAGCTGTCCAGGTGACTACATAAAAGCCAAGCAGATGGGTCATTGCAAAATACTGTTCTGTTGGTCATTTTAGGTCAATGCTCTTGTAAAATGTTGCACATAGTGGCCTATCAAAGCTTCTCCGGCCTGTTGAGAGGAGCTGAGACTTTCAAACTTCTTTTTTATCTCATGAAGTTACTTTTTTTATGTATCTCTTTACTGAAATGTACCTCCACTCTCAAAGAAAGTTGTTGCCTTAGTACAGGTCATTTATTTCTCTTGTGTTCATTGAAGATTGTTTTCTCTTCAGCAGGCATTCCCCTGCCTCACTTGCATGAATTCATTCTCCTTTTAAAATAAGTACATTCCTGAAGATATTAAGTAATGTGCTCTTTTTGCTTCTTAGTTCTCTTCTGATATTTTCTTATATGTTGTTTTTATGATTGTTTTGCTTTGCTGCTGTTACATTTAAAATATTTAATCCTAACCTCATTCCCCTTTCTTCATTGTATCATGTTATGTGCCATCCTGATTTTCTTTACACTTTCAAATTATGTTTGAAAAGGCACGTTATTATGTTCATATGACAGGACTTATGTAGCCATCATTGGACCTATACGTTTTCAGTATTTTGCTATTTCACAAAAAACTCTTGTGGAAATTTTACTGAGAGTTCTTTGTTTGCTTTCAGTTACATGTTGAGGATGCTGACCTAGTACTGGGGCCATTGGGTCAATGAATGTGAACAGTTTTGTAGCTCTAGCTGAAGTTGCTGTTCTTTTTCAGAAAAAATGGCAGTAGCATCTTAATATGTAGCTATTTCAACATCATTGTGAAAATTTATCATTTTAAGATATCTTTGGGGGCAACGAGATGGCACAGTGTTTACAGCACCGACCCTGGATTCAGGAGGACCTGAGTTCAAACCCGGCCTCAGACACATAACACTTCCTAGCTGTGTGAGTCCGGGCAAGTCACTTAACCCCATTGCCTAGCCAAAAGAAAACGAAAAGATAGCTTTGCTAATCTGATGGCTATTTAATTTCTCTTCTCAAAAACAATTATGTCTTACTCTTACATTTCAATCAATTCCTTATAAATTAGATATGTTGGATTTTTAGATGACATTTATGACAATGATTGTCACATTTTCCCCCTGATATTTCTTCTTTATTCTGTTTATTTCATATAACTATTTCTCTTCCTTGCTCTGAACTCAGTTCTCCATTTTTTTTTTCTGTTCAAGCTTTTCTCTTCCTATTTTCACCTCATAAGATAAGGATACATTTGCAAATTCTCAGTCATCTTTTTTTTTTTCCTGAATATACTCGTTCCAATGAAATGCCAGGCAATCAAAGTAGAGTAAGAGTTCATTCTTCCTTCAAGGTAATTTCATCATCAGTCAGATTATTTATGTAGAGTACCTTTGAGTCTTCATATTTTTAAATAAGATAAATTGATTCTTAGTGAAAGACTAGTAAGACTGTCCTTCTCAAGTGAGAAGGCAAGAGAATACCTCTAAAACCTGGTTTTTTTTTTTAAAAAAGAGTTAATCATTTTTTTATTCTTCCTTTCAGAGATCAGAGAATTTACTGGAGATAAACCTTTTCCATGTAATGAATATGGGAAGGCCTTCAGGACCAAGAAGCATCTGGCTGTGCATGAGAGAATTCATACTAGAGAGAAACTTTGCAAATGTAGTGAATGTGAGATGGCCTTCAGGGAGAAGACACAACTTACTCTGCATCACAGAGTTCATACTGGAGAGAAACCTTATGAATGTAATGAATGTGGCAAGGCCTGCAGATATAAAGGACAACTTACAATCCATCAGAGAATTCATACTGGAGAGAAACCTTATGAATGTAGTGAATGTGGGAAGGCCTTCAGGGATAAGACACAACTTACTCTGCATCAGAGAATTCATACTGGAGAGAAACCTTATAAATGTTATGAATGTGGGAAGGCCTTCAGAGATAAGACAAAACTTACAGTGCACCACAGAATTCATACTGGAGAGAAACCTTATCAATGTAGTGAATGTGGGAAGGCCTGCAGGTATAAAGGACAACTTACAGTCCATCAGAGAATTCATACTGGAGAGAAACCTTATGAATGTAGTGAATGTGGAAAGGCCTTCTTGAGAAAGGCAGAGCTTGCTGTGCATCAGACAATTCATACCGGAGAGAAACCTTATGAATGTAGTGAATGTGGAAAAGCCTTCAGGAGGAAGGACCATCTTACTGTACATCAGAGACTCCATACTGGAGAAACATGTTATGAATATAAGGAGTGTGGGAAGGGTTTTCTCTACAACTCAGATCTTACTCTACATCAAAAAATTCATGCTAGAAAGAAACCTTATAAATGTATTGAATGTGGAAAAGCCTTTAGAGATAAGACACAACTTACAGTGCATCAGAGAATTCATACTGGAGAGAAACCTTATGAATGTAGTGAATGTGGGAAGGCTTTCAGCAGTAAGACACAACTTACAGTGCATCAGAGAATACATACTGGAGAGAAACCTTTTGAATGTAGTGAATGTGGGAAGGCCTGCAGGTATAAAGGACAACTTACAGTGCATCAGAGAATTCATACTGGAGAAAAACCTTATGAATGTAGTGAATGTGGAAAGGCCTTCAGGAGGAAGTCACATCTTACTGTACATCAGAGACTCCATACTGGAGCTATGTGTGATGAATATAAGGAGTGTGGGAAGGGTTTCCTCTACTACTCAGATGTTACTCCACATGAAAAAAGTCATGCTGGGAAAAAACCTTATAAATATAGTGGATGTGAGAAAGACTTCAGAGATAAGAGAAAACTTACAGTGCACCACAGAATTCATACTGGAGAGAAACCTTAAAAATGTAGTGGATGTGGGATGGCCTTCAGAGATAAGACAAAACTTATAGTGCATCACAGAATTCATACTGGAGAGAAATTTTTAAAATGTAGTAAATGTGGAAAGGCCTTCGAAATAAGACACAACTTAGAGTGTATCACAATTCACACTGGAGAGAAACCTTATAAATGTAGTGAATATGGAAAAGCCTTCAGGAGTAGGAGAGAAATTACTGATCAGAGAATTCATACTGGAGAGAAACCTTATGAATGTAGTAAATGTGAGAAGGCCTTTGGGAGGAAGTCATATCTTACTGTGCATCAGAGACTTCATGCTGGATATATGTGTGATGAATACAAGGAATGGGACGGGTTTTCTGTACAACTCAGATGTTACTCCACATGAAAAAATTCATACTGGAAAGAAACTTTATAAATGTAGTGAATGTGGAAAACCCTTCCTAGATAAGACACAAATCACAGTGCATCACAGAATTCATACTGGAGAGAAACCTTATAAATGTAGTAAATGTGGGAAGGTCTGCAGGCATAAAGCACAATTTACAGCACATCACAGAATTCATACTGGAGAGAAACCTGATAAATGTAATAATATGGCAAGGCCTTCAGCAGTAAGACACAACTTTCATTGAAACCTTTTGAATATAGTGAATTTGCAAAGGCTTTCATGATGAGGACAAAACTTACAGTGCACTGCAGAATTCACACTGGAGAGAAACCACATGAATGTAATGAATGTGGAAATGCCTTCAGGAGGGAAGAGATATCTTACTGTACATCAGAGAACTCATACTGTTGACATCCATAATGAATTTAATGAGTGTGGGATGGTTTTCCCCTACAAATTGGACCTTATTTGACATGAAGAAATTCATACTGGATAGAAACTTTATGAATGTAGTAAATGTGGAAAGGCCTTTAGGAAGAAGAAGTCACATCTTACTGTTCGTCAGAGAATTTGTACTGGAGATATGTGTTATGAATGTAAGGTGTGAGAAGGGTTTTCTCTACAACTCAGATCTTACTCTATATCAACTTCATACTGGAGAGAAACCTTATGAATGTAGTGAATGTGGAAAGGTCTTCTGAAGTGAGACACAATTGACAGACTTGACATCAAAGAATTAATTCTGGAGAGAAACTTTTGCAATTTGGGAAGGCCTTTAGACTTAACACATTACTTTATGTTCATCAGAGAATTGATACTAGATTGATTCTTCCCCTATTCTGAAGCCTGCAAAGAGGCAAAGATTTAGTATTATCATCCCAGTCTCCCATGGACCTTCAGGGAAGGAGAGATGATGCTGGCTGAGGCAGAGGTTACTGAGTGGATAGTGGTATTGGGAGGTCCTTAGTATTAACTGTCCCCGGGCATATGGCTTGCAAGACACTTGGGGATGACCTCTTGGCCATGAGATGAGCCTGAGCCTAATGTGTGATGAATAATTATTGACAGAGCTTGAGGAATATATCCTCATCAGCAACCTGATGTTGCTGGTGCTTCTTCTTCTCCTGTTCATTTCAATAGCCACTGTGGATGTTACAGATTTGAAATCACATTAATTAAAACAAAGCATCCCAAGAATGTGTGGCAGATTTTGATGCAACATGATTTCTGTCCTGTGCTCTGAATGTCAAAGGAAAGAAGTTCATTGAAGTGCAGGTAAACAGCAGGATTAATTATGACCTTCTCATTGTAGATAAATGCCTTGTCATCTAATTAGTGACACATATGAAAAGATCAATAAAATTCCCATTATGGTTAAAGAATATAAAAAGACTTTTCAGTGAAGAAATCAAAGGGATCAATAATGAAAATGCTTTAAATCACTATCGATTAGAGAAATGCAAATGAAAACAACTTTGAAGCAATATGTCACATTAGCTCAGATTGGCCAATGTGACAGAAAAGGAAAGTGATATTCTGGAGGGTTTGTGGGAAAATAGGGATACTAATGCACAATGCAGAACTGGTCCAATCATTCTAGAGGACAATTTGGAACTGTGCCTAAAGGGCTATAACACTGTGCATACCCTTTGACATAGCAATACCACTGCTTGATCTGTATCCCAAAGACATCAAAGGAAAATGACTTACATGTGCAAAAATTGTAAATATTGTTGGGGCCCTGCCCTCATTGGAGGCTAGATAGGCATGGTATGCCTATTTAATGGTATGTCATGGAGGAAATTCATTTTCAAATATGATTTGCAGCATAGAGTCCACAAGGTCCTTTCTTACTCTCAATAATGGATTTCTGTGAAGTCAGTTTCAGGTCTGCCATGGTTTTTTTTTTGTTTGTTTCTTAATCCAGCTGTCTCTCCATTCCCCTTCCTCTATATGACTCTAGGGAGAATTCAGGTGGCTTCCTTGGAACATCTGAAAACTGATCCCTATGCCAAGGGCTTAAACATAGTAGCAGGAGGCGAGAAGTAAGGATAACATCCTTTTAGCTCACAGCATGTCCAGTAACCATGAGTGACACTGTCTATCCTGAGTGGGGAGTCATACCTCCTTCCCTCCCTCAGGCCTTCTTCCATGCCTTTTTACATAGTGGAGGGAGCAGAAATGGTACAGGGTACCAGCATGAGGAGTAAAGAACATGTATGAGGCCTTCACATAGGCAGATGGGCAGAGAATGTGGAACAACTTGAGTTATCCTGAAGATGATGGGAGACAATGCTAATGCAACATGGTAAGGGAACGGAAGATAGTGCAAAACATCTCTTGTGACATAAACCTGCATCATCCCCAATTAAATAACAAATTAGAAATCCTGAAAACCAAAGGAGAGATTAATAAAATTGAAGTTAAGAAAATTATTGAATTAATAAAACTAATAACTAGTTAAAAAAACTAAAATGGATAAGCCTTTGGTTAATTTGATTAAAAAAAAGAAAACCAAATGACCAGCATCAAAAATGAAAACTAAATTCACTACCAATTAAGCGGAAATCAAAACAATACTTAGGAACTATTTTACCCAACTGTATGCCAATAAATTTGACAATCTTAGTGAAATGAATGAGTATTTTAAAAAATATAAATTGCCCAGATTAAGAGAAGAGGAAATAAAATACTTAACCCAGTTTCAGAAAAAGAAATTGAAGAAGCCATCAATGAACTGTCTAAAAAAAAAAAAAACTCGGACCAGATGGATTTACAAGTGAATTCTATCAAACATTTAAAGAACTAGTTCCTATACTAAATAAATGATTTGGGAAAATTGGTGAAGAAGGAGTTTTACGAAGTTCTTTTTATGAAACATATATGGTGCTGATACTTAAACCTAGATGAGCCAAAACAGACCACGGCCTTTTCAAGGAAAGGTCTTTTCCAGGTCTCAGTTTGTGTAAGGCAATACCATTCAGTAATTAAAAGCTAGATGAGAATTGAGGCAAAAGTTGGCTTCCTTTGCCTTCATAAAAGAATCAGCCTGGGAGGGGAAAACCCTCAGCGTTTCTCTAGGCCGTGAATAGAGTTCTGGGTGAAGAATCAGGAAGAACTGTGTTGAAATCTAAGTTCAGGCATTTGCTACCTATGTGACCCTGGGTGTGTCACTTCACCCTAGTTTCCGCGTCTACAAAATGAAGTCTATAACAGCCCCCATTCCCCTGGTTGTTGTGAGGACCAGATGAGATAATCCTTGTATTTAGTGGTGCCTGGAACACAGTAAGCTTCACCTAAACGTTAGCTCTTAGTTTTACTGAGCCCATCTACCAGATGACTGGCATTAGCCAGGCACAACTAAACACTCTCCTTGTCTCCTGGTATCACTCGGGTCAGTGTCCGTGACGGAGGAAACACACAGAAAGCGGACACGGCCTTGCCTTGCCCTGCCTGGCATCCCCTTGACCTCTGCTGCTGCCCGGGGCCCACTCGCGTCCTCCTCCTGGAAGCCCCAGGGGGCTCAGCGAGCGCTCCTGGCATCCAGCCCCAGCCCGTGGTTTCCCTGGGTGTTTGCGTCACTTCCTGCCGGAAGATGCCGGCGCACAGGAAGCATTTCTTTAGAGCCGCAGCCTTTGTGAGTGGCTGCTTCAGTGGGAAAGATGCGTGCTAGACGAGCCTCGGAGGAGCCCCAGGGCACCTAGAAGTCTGGGACCTCACGCCTAGTGACTCCCCTGGGGCTCTGGGGCTGGGAAGACCATGCACGGGATAAGGGGTGGAACAGAGGGGGCGGGGCGAGAGAGGTAGGACTGCATTTCGGGCCAGGGGAGGGGCCGAGCTCCAGGCGTGCGCAGAAGAAACCTCCGCCTCTAAAATGAGGTTCCCAGAATGCCGTGCTCGCCTCAGGGGCATTTTCCAAGCTCAAGGGCGGGAGGGACTTCCGTCTTAGAACGACACTTCCGGTTCCTTTCCTCTCCGCCTCTTCCACGCTTTCTGGTGCCCGCTTCCACTTCTCTGTCCTTAGCTGAAGTGTGACGGGGTGAGCGGGGACCGAGAGCGAGGTGGAGCCGGCTGCGGGGTGCGGCGGGGTCGGAGCACCGGGGGCCGGCTACGGAGCACCCGGAGAACGGAAGGAGCGTCCGCCAGAGGAGGAAGGAAGCCCCCCGAGGGGCTCCCAGGGGTCTGGGGGCGGCCTGTGGGTTGGGCGGGGTGCGGGGGTTGGAGGTGGACCAGGCGGAGGCGGAGCCTGGGGGCGGATTCCAATCCTCCTTCAGTCACGCCCGCATCCGGTGACTCTGATCAGGGCATGGCCCTCCATGCCTCAGGCCTCCTCCTGTGCCCAGAGTCCCCGGCAATGTGCTCCCCATGTGTGTCTGTCTGGTCCTCGGTGGGGACTCCTCGTGGTCTCATCTCCTCCCAGCATCCTCCTGGGCAGCCCTTCCTCGGGGAAGCCTTCCCTGATGCTGCCCGGGTCCCGTGCCCTCACCTTGCTGAAAAGGTCCTCTGTCTGTTCTCCAGTTTGTCTCTAAAGAGATGCTGGCCCCAGGACAGCGCCCCCCGCCCCCCACCCCTCAAGAGAGAAATGACCGCTTCCTTCTGGCCTGTCCCCAGCCCCTGCCCCGCTGCCTGATCTCCCCACAGTGCAGAAGTGGAAATGTCTGGTCTAAGCAGGGCAAACCCCCAGCGTGACCCCTCATTCTCCTGCTTCTCCTTTCCTCCCCAGCTCTACCTTCGGTGGCCTCTGCTCAGCTCCAGGAGGACAGCCTGGAGGAAGAGGGAATGGCTCCTGCCCTGACAGCCAGGTTTGGAAAGGTGAGTGCCACTTTCTTCTTTCCTGAGATAGCATCTCATGCCAGAGACCTTGGGATAGGTTCCTTTTTTTTTTCTTTTGGTGAGGCAGTTGGAATTAAGTGACTTGCCCAGGGTCGCACAGCTAGTGAAGTGTCAGGTGTTTGGTCTAAGGCTGGATTTGAACTCAGCTGCTGCTCTATCCACTGTGCCACCTAGCTGCCCCAGGGATAGGTTTCTTTCTCCTATTTTATAACAATGGAAATTGTAGGCATCAGAGAATTATATTTAGGACTAAAACATACCATAGAGACTACTTTATCTTCTCCCCCAGAAAAAAAGACCATACATTTAGTTTGTGGGGTTTTTTTTTAATTTTGTGTTCCAAATTCTTATGCACCTCTTCCCACCTTCCAGTTCTTTCCCCACCCATTTAGAAGAACAGGACACCCATTTTCCTTGTGAAGTAGCAAAACATTTCCTTGTTGGCCCTGGTCCAAAAAAAAAATTGAAGGAAAATGAAAGTAGAAAAGCTATGCTTAAATGTGCAGTCAAAGTTCATCAGTTTTCTAGTCATATTTCCTAATTTTCATCCTTTCAAGTTTTCATGAATCATATTAATATTTACATAAGGTGGGTGAAAATACAGAAAAAGAAAGGCTCCTACTGAATTCTTTCTACAAAGAAAGATGATGTTGTTACCTAAAGCAGTGAGAGATTACAGCACTATTTCATAAAGGTTATTCATTATGACGTTGAAGTTGCTTAATGCTTTCATATTTGGTTCAAAATTAAGAAAACTATTGATATAATGGACTAAACGCATAATATAAACAATAAACAGGACATGGTTATATAGGTAGATGCAGATAAGGCTTTTGACAAAATACAATACCTGTTCCTTTTTTAAATTTTTTTTTCCCCCAGATTTGGCAGAGGGGGTTAAGTGACTTGCCCAGAGTCACACAGCTAGTAAGTGTCAAGTGTCTGAAGCCTAATTTCAACGCAGGTCCTCCTGACTCCAGTGCTGGAGTTGCATCCACTTTGCCACCTAGCTGCCCACCTATTCCTCTTAAAAATATAAAGGGTAGGAATAACGGAAAATTAAGGTTCTCTGAGGTTCCCCCTCACCGTCATCTGTTTGGCAGAATTGACAGAAAAAAGTAAAATGAGAAATTCTAGATCACCCCTGGGAAAACAAGTACATTAACAGGCCCTTGATGGTTGGTTTTGTGTGTGTGTGTGTGTGTGTGTGTGTGTGTGTGTGTGTGTGTCCTCTTCTAGATCCATGCCATCTGGATGATGATGCCAGGACTTGCAAATGAATTGGGGTTGTGAGGAAAGGTCTCACTTTCTCCTCCTGAGCCACCTCAGTCCAGTGGCAAGATAGAGATCAGGAAGACTGGAGGTGGCCCAGCCTTGGCCTTTTGAAGCTAAGGTCTTTAGGAGTTCTCACTTTGACTGAGGCAAAGCCCCATTCAGTGATTAAGGCTGGTTTAGAAATGTGGGGAGGAATGGCTCCTTTTA